CTCACCTCGTGAGTTAGCTTTTGCGGTTGACTTAGGCTCAAGTTCCATCTTTAACATGGTATTAGAGCCAACCGATTCCTTTCCTTGGTTTACCTGATATTGGACCTCCATATAATATTATCCATGCTCCAGATGTCTAATCCTAAGCATGCGAGGAGATAGTGGATATTAGAATGTCTCATAAAGGTTGTTGTCTCCTTATATGGTGTTAGGCAATTTTAGACTTGAGTTAAGCCTAAGGTCTATTTTCTTAACAAAGGGAAATATCTAACAGAACAGTAAATATACAAATGCAATGTGGAAGTTTATAAATTTGCAATGCAGCACATCGTCTCTTTAAGCTCCTTTTTTCTAGACCCTTTTTCCCTTTTTAACTTTCGCTTGTTTCTCTTTTGTTTTTCATTCTTAACTCTAACCAACCATAAGAAAAATACTTTATCAGGGGGTGGAATTGGTCTATTTCAAGAGAAGTCAGATATATGATCTACAGTTTGGAATTAAAAGTGTAAAAGTTATGGAATCAAACATATGTAACTAGTTCAGTATTATTTCGAGAAGCTTAGAGTGGAATAATAGAGTTTGGAGGACAAAGTAATGATCTCATGTAGCTTCAATGCCTTTTGCATCTGCTACTCTTTTAAATTGTACTTGACATTTTGCAAACACTGTTCTTTCTACCATGTTCTAGCGTGGCAGTATTTGACTTTAGTTAAATGATTTCTAAAGATGTTCAGGATGGATTACGTGTGCGCTTGGTCAATCTTCCTAAGAAAATGAACATTGATAAAGATCTACGAGTGGCTTTCAAAGGAGTTCCTGGAATAGCTAACATAGTCCCCGTTGTGACGGGGAACAAGAAGACCAGGAATCCTATTTGCAAAGGCCTCGCTTATATTGACTTCAAGTCCAAAGATGAAGCACAAAGGTATTGCTTTAGAATGTAATATATACCTCGATTCTCTCTTGGTCTTGCTCTGCTGTTGTTTTGTTTGTGGCTATACGGAAGAAATAAAAGGGTGAATCTTGTATTTGTAACATGACCAATCAATTAGTATCACAACACCATGTACACTGATGGTTTTAAGATTTTTTTTGGTTTCTAACCTTAGTTCACAGATATGATTAAAAACTTGTGCGACTTTGTATGTGTATTAGGTAATTACCTTACAATATCAGTTTGACATTTGTTTGAAAAATTAGATCAGGTGCCTATTTAATCTTTAACCTTGCATTCTTTGCCTAAACCAAAAAAATGTTTGTCATTGTAGGTTTGTGATAATGTTTTCTGGACAAAGTATAAGTTTTGGTAAGATTGAGAAGAAAATAAAGTGTGAGATGATAAATCATGGATCACCCAAATCCGCAGCTATAATGTCGGTTGATGAAATTAAGTATGCTCCTGAACAAGAAATACCTGTTCTGCAAGGAGACCTCGATGATGATTTTGATACAGATTTCCTTTCCTCGGATTCAGAGGAAAAACTTCCCACTGACCATGATGTGGCAGAGATGGACGATTTATCAGCTCGTACAAATGATCATGTAGAAATTTCAGAAAGTTTATCTGCAGAGTCAACTTCGGGCGATGAGCAGGATGTTAGAGAAGAGTCTGATTTCTCCGAACAAGAAAAGAAAGTCCAAGCAAAAGAGAAGAAGAAAAAGCCTAAGCAAAAGAAAGAGAAGGTCCCAAAATTGAATATACCTGGATCTGCGCGCAAGTAAGCTATAAGCTCATGATTTAACATACTATTGCACTTATGTTCGACGTACTTCCTTGGTTTTATTTTACTTACCAACTGGTGCAATGTCATGCAGGTTGAAAATCAAGGAGAAAGCTCTACTTACTGGTGTTATATCCAAATATGCACAAAAAAATACTGTTGTGACTGTGAAAGAACAAAGCTAACAATGGCCAGCGTTCACATTTAGTAGCAGGGTTTATTGCTGTTTGGTACACTTCGTCTTCTGCCAATCTAAGTCTTTGCAGTTATTCATTTTTTGTAGATTTATTTACATCAGTATTAAGCTTAGTTTTGCTGATTTCTTGCTTGTAAATGTCCAAATATGAATCAAGTTTAGTAAACATATCGCGAGTCAGCTAAATTAGTTTACTATCTCATTTTTATTGGTTACCGTTGTCAAGTATGCTTTATTTCGCTATTTCTTTAACTCATTTGGTTGATCCATTGTGCCCCAGTTTCTTCTTCCCATAAGACATTGCATGAGACATTGTGTTCCAATAAACTCAAATTTTTGCAGTTGCTGAACAAGTAACGTAATTTAACATCAACTGCAGCTGCAAAAGATTCTGAGATTAATTCATATTTCGTGCATTTACATCAAATAACTTTTGCATCAACCAAGAAAAAACGCAAAATTTCATCAATATACAACACTTGAGGGTTCAACCTACCAAGAGTCAGCCCAATTGACCTACGACTTCAATATACACGCGGGCACAATGTTGATTACTCCAGAACAATCAAAAGATGCTGCACTCTTGAGCTGAGGGTCTATCGGAATCAGCCTCTACTCCTCCGGAGTAGGGATGAGATCTACGTACACACTACCCTCCCCAGACCCCATTTGTGGGATACCATTGGATTGTTGTTGTAATCAAAAGATGCAGCCTCCCCCCCCCTCCTTCCCAAAAAAAAAAGCTGGAGTTAAATTAGCAATAGAGCAGATTCAGCAATAAGGCAACTATTAACATGCCTTATAACAAAGACGTGAAGTTTTTTTATCAAAAGACTGCCGGAGAACGTATGCAGGCGGAGGAAAAGACTATCAGACATACAACATGCAATCAAAGTGACTTTGGTCCACCCAGCTACCCAAGTTACGTAAAAGACATATTTTGAAGTCCCCCCCCCCCCC